TTTTATTTTGAGACAACTTAGAGACTCACTAAGTTGCTTAGGGCCTTGCAAAATTGCTGAGGCTGGCTTTGAATTCCCAGTCCTCCTGCCTCAGCCTACCAAGTTGCTGGGATTATAGGCATGGGCCACTGTGCCTGGCAAGTTGGGGGGATGGGAACATGTTCCGATAAGCCTAGGCGGCAGTGCCACGCCAGGCGCCACGTGGGACATGCCACAGTTCAGCTCCTGGGAAGGACAGTTTTCTCAGCTCCAGTTAAGTCCTAACTGTGCCCGGAGCGCTCTGGTCAGAAAAAAGACCTGACCCTTCCCCCCAAGGGTTCTTCTGGTGCCTTGTTCCCTAAAACAGGAGTCCAAGGCATGTCCCCATGCTACAGTCTGGGCTGGGTGGGCACATCGCAGGAGAACAGAGCCACGTGAAGGAAAGAGCCTTTCTCTTTTCATGGGTGACCTTCCCCAGGGCAAGCCATAGGGTTCTGCACTTATCTGGGCTGGGTTTGGGGTAATTTCTGCTCCCCTGGTCACCCCCCAGGAAGACAGGAGGATAGAGGAAGCATCAGTAGATCTTTGAAGGTCTCTGTAAAGCAGATAAGGTGTGCGAGACCAGGAACCTCGGAACAGGATGAGGCACCAGGGGCTGGGGTTGTGGCTCAGTGACAGAGCGCTCACCTAGCACGTGCGAGGCCCTGGGTTCCATCCACAGCACCACATATAAAAGGTCTGGTGTCCAGCTACAACTAAAAAATAAATATTAAAAAAAGAAAAGAATAAGGCACCAAAAGAAGATTTATTGGAGGGGCTCCCCCCGGGCCGAGGCTCACCAGTCTGCCAAAAGGTGAGGACCAGGGAAGTCCGGGCGGGAAAGGTGAACACAATGCTTCTAAGGGCAGCTGGAGGTAGGAGGGCCTAGGCCATCTAAATTGTCACTACCGACAGCAGGCTGGCTGAGCCGAGTTTAGGGGCATCTGTCGTTGGTTGGTCCAGGCTGAGATGAATTGACAGGGCAATCACTTCCACTGGCAGGAACCCGGTCGGTGGGGTCTGTTGCGGGATCAGCTTCTGATTGGCCATTTCGGGGCCGCCCACAGCTACCACGGGAGGGGAGCGGGGAAGGAAGGCTGCTGACCCACAGTCTCCACTTTGGAGATCTCTCTGAGAAGCATTTTACACCTTAAGCAAATGAGAATTTGTAAAACCCATCCCATAATACCACTGTCACTCCCAACAAAATTAGCAGCAACTCCTAACTGTACATAGACAGTGTTGAGATTTCCTCCCATTGTTTCTGAAACACAAATGCAGTTTTTACAGCTTTATTGAGGTATTTCACTTTACCAGAAAATTCATGCATTTTTTAAGTGTATTGACAGAGTCGTGCCACTGTCACCACAGTCTAACTTTAGGACATTTTTCAATACCCAGAAAGAAACCCCTCGATCTATAGCAGTGACTCCTCTCGTGCCTGCTTGAGTTCCCAATCCTTCACTGTACCTTATTGTTTTCCAGGTTCACCCATCAGCACATTATTATTTCTTTTTATCAAATGATATTCTGCTGTACGAGTAATGCCACATTTAGCTGACTGACTAATGGACGTTGGGGTTCATTAGTTCACTACACATAGCCCTGCTATGAACAGTAGTGACCTGGGCTGACCACGAACACCTGGTCTTAAGCAGTCCTCCTGGCTTAGCCTCCCAGATACCTGGGACCACAGCCACAGGCCATGGTGACAGCTACTTTGTCTTGGTGCCATGTGTTCAACAGATGATTCTTTTCTCCCTACTGGATCAATCTTGATGCCTTTGTTGGAAATCGGTTGACTGTAGCTGGGTGGGTTTATTTCTGGGCTTCTCAGTTTTACTCCATTGATCTGCTTGTCTGTCCTTGTACCAGTACCACACTGTCTTTCTCTTCCCCTTTCTTTTTTCTTCTCCTTCATAGCAGACATGAACCTGGGGCATTGAGCCCGCAAGACAAGTGCTCTGCTGCTGAGCCCTGAGCTCTAACTCGAGGTCTTTTGTAAATGTCCCTTATCCAGTGGAGGAAGTGTCCTGATTTACTGAGTATTGTTTTGTTGTTGTTCTGTTTTCTTTGGAGATAGAACCCAGGGGCACTTCATCACTGAGCTACATCCCAGCCCTTTTGTTATTTGATACAGGGTCTTGCTAAGTTGCCAGAGCTGGCCTCCAACTTGCAATCCTTCTGCATCAGCCTCCTGAGTTGCTAGAATTACAGGCATGCATCACCACGTCCAGTTTACTGAGTTTTTTTTTTTTTTTTCGTGAAAGAGTATATTTTATCAAATGCTTTTTCTGTGTCAATTGAGATGATTGTATATTTTTAAAATTGAAGGTTGAGACAGGAGGATTGTGGGTTCAAAGCCAGCCTCAGCAACAGCGAGGCACTAAGCAACTCAGTGAGACCCTGTCTCTAAAGACATTTACAAAATAGGGCTGGGGATGTGGCTCAGTGGTCTAGTGCCCCTGAGTTCAAACCCTGTTACCAAAATAAATAAATAAATAAAGTTGATAACATATTTCTTTTGATGTGATATATTACATTAATTCATTTTTGGATGTTGAATTAATTGAATCTCTGGGGTTAATCCACCCCATGGCCATGGTATATAATTCTTTTTATATGTTGCCAGATCCAGTTTGCTAGTTTCTTGAGAACTTTGTGTTTATATTTCAGTTTTCTTTTCTCCTTTTGTCTTTGCATTTGGTATCAGTATAATGCTGGCTTCATTGAATCAGTTTGGAAGTGTTCCTTCCTCTTCTGTTTTCTTTTAAGAGTTTGTGAAGAGTTGGCATTAATTCTTTAAGTGTTTTTTAAAATATTTATTCATTTTTTTTTAGTTGTAGTTGGACACAATACCTTTATTTATTTTTATGTGGTGCGGAGGATCGAACCCAGGGCCTCGCACATGCTAGGCGCACGTGCTCTACCACCGAGCCACAACCCCAGCCCCCTCTTTAAGTGTTTTGTGGGAGTCAGTGGTAAGGCCATCTGGGTCTGGACTTTGATGGGTATTTACTTTTTAATACTGCTTCAGTCTAATCATTTGTTACAGGTCCAGTCACATTTTCAATTTCTTTCTAAGTTTATTTTGGTAGTTTGTGTCTTCCTAGGAACTTGTCCATTTTTATTTCAGTAGAGTCAATAGAAAGGTCTCCTCTTTAACTTATGATTCTAGTAATTTGAGTCTGTCTTTTTCTTGGTCCATCGAGCTCAACGGTTTGTCAGTTTTGTTGATTTTTCTCTTCGGAATTTCGTTAATTTCCACTGTACTTTTCATAATATTCTTACTTCTATTTGCTTAGGTTTAGTTTGCCTTGTTTCTTCCAGTGTCTTCCAGTGGGAAGTGAGGCTATTGATGGGAAGTCTTCCTCTGTGGTGTGGCCACTGACCACTGTGCGTTTCTCTCTAAGCACCACTTTAGCTTCAGCCTGTGAGTTTTGGTGTGACGTGCTCTGTTTTCAGTTCGTCTCAGAGTATTTCCTAATTTTGTCTGTGGCTTCTTGGACCCATTTGTGATTTAGGAGAGTTAATTCTCACACACCTGTGAATTTCCAAGTTTCTTCTGTTGACTTCTAGTTGAATTCCACTGTGGTCAGCACATACATCGGTTCTAAAACGTTCCTGCCGTGCGATCTACCCGGCAGAGTGCTCTTCGTGTGTGTTCTGCCATTGTCAGAATGTTCTGTGGACACTGTTGGTGTCTGCATGGTTTAGTGTTGTTTAGGTTTTCTGTTTCCTTGTTGATCTTCGGTCTAGTTGTTCTATTCTACAATAGAAATATGGTATTGTAGCTGCCAACTGTACTTTTTAAAATTGCCTATTTCTCTTTCAGCCTTTTTTCCCTCCTCCTCCTCCTGTCTTGGTGGTACTGGGGATTTAACACAGGGCAAATCTACCTCTGAGAAGCATCCCCAGCCATTATTTTCTTTTATTTTGAGATAGGGTCTCACTAAGTTGCTGAGGCTGGCTTTGAACTCGTGATCCTCCTGCCTCAGCCTCCTGAGCTGCTGGGATTACAGGCATGTGCCACTGTACCCAGCTAGGACTACATTTTTTTTATCCATTCTTCCAGTCTCTACCTTTTAACTGAACATTTAAAACATTGATACTTAATGTAATTATCCATCAGGACTGGCTTCTGTCATTGTACCATTTGTTAACTGAATGCCTAGCTAGGCACAAAGCTCTTTGTACAACTTATCACTTTTTCTCCCATATCCTAACGCTTGAGAAATCTGAAACCTACAAAGAGGTGGTGACAGCCCCAGTCAACTGTGCAGCGAGCTTTGAGCCTTACCTTGCAACCATCAGTTTAGCCTGGAAGTCTCATTGCTGGTCCTCTGGTGTCCCATTTACCCTCCAGAGCCCATCTCCACAGGCAGCCAGAGAGATCTTTTTAAAATGTAAATCCAGGCCAGGTGTGGTTGTGATGTCCTGTGATCCCAGCAATTTGGGAGTCTGAGGCAGGAGTATCTCAAGTTCAAAGCCAGCCTCAGCAATTTAGCAAGACCCTAAGCAACTTAGTGAGACTCTGTGTCAAAATTAAAAGTATAAAGTGGTGGGGATGTGCCTCTGTGGTATAATGCCCCTGGGTTCAATCCTAACTTCTAAAGAAAATAAAAAATAAATAAATAAACATGGTCATTTCTCCCCTGACTCTGATCCTCCAGGTGCTCTCCCCCAGGGACCAGCCTGCTCCCTCCTTCGGTAGCTAGCCTGCTGACATGTACCAAACAGGGAAGGGCAGGAGATGTTTTGGGTAACGCAGAGACACCTCTTTCCCGCCCAGTCTGCCGGGGGCTTGCAGCCCTGTTGTCTTGGGGAGCACTTGCTGGCCTCTGGGTACTTTCAGCCTAGGCTGTGGGAGAGTCAAGATGAATCCCAGGACTATGCCGTCACCAGAAAGCTCTGTGCTTCATTTGCCTTCTGCTATAACCACACCCAACTTCAGGGTTTCCCCCTCTTCTCTCCCTCTTCAGTCCATGGTGACCCTGCAGGATCTGCTCACTGACCTGTACCCACTCAAGGTCACCGTTGAAACCCTCAGGAAGGACGTGAACATGATGAAGGATTGTTTTGAAAAGGTAATTCCTCCCCTGCATCCTCCACACTGGCCGTGCGGGTCAGACATCTGGTGGTCCAGGCCTAGAAAGCCTGTGCTTGGTCAAAGAATGCAGCCAAGAGGGGAGAAGAAGGGAACCCTCCTGGCCCAGACCTTGGCCTCCCTCCCGAGCTCCCTGTGACCCCTTAGTGCCCCTTACTCCACTGTGTTAGGATGTCCGTTGTCAGACACCCAGTTCATCCCGACTTGGGAAAAATAATAGAATTCATTCTCATTTACTAAAAAGTCCAGGGGCACCTCCAGCCACAGCCAGATGGAGGCCCTCAGCCCCCTCAGCGTCTGCCTCTCGGTGATGACTTCCTCTGTGTTGGCTTCATGTTCAGGCAGCTACTCCCTGACTCTTAAAAACTCCAGGCTTATAGTCCCTCAACTCGGCAGAAAGAGAACACCTTTTCCTCCTGTTGAAAGCTCTGTTCACACTGAAAAGCAGGATAAACCTAGTGCAGGCACACATACTGGCTTCTTCTGCATCTCTGAGCCATTTGTCCAAGTCTGTTCTAGACTCGACCATGACATGGAAAGACATGGAATCCCTAAATCCCGAGACAGCTTCCCCTAGTCCACAGTGGGGTCAGAAGCTGGGTCTGCAAATCTCCAGGCCAGCACTGTGGCCAAGGTTAGACCACCTGCTCCAAATAACATGACTAATGTGTTGCCTCTGTTTCATAGGTCACTGGGTGCACTTGAACTTCCATCTTAGACTGGGTAGATTCTATTTGAGTAGACGGGCAGTGTCAGGAAGCAATGCTATGAAACACTAAAGAGGATCCCTGGGACCAATCTGCTTGAGAAACGATGCCTTCCTGGCCTACTCCTTGAAGATTTTTTTTTTTTCTCATTGAGGATTGAACCCAGAAACACTTAACCACTGAGCCACATCCCCAGCCCATTTTTTTTTTTTTAATATTTATTTTTTAGGTGTAGGTGGACACAACACAATGCCTTTTTTTTTTTTTATTTTGTTCTTAGGGTTGAACCCAGGGCCCCCCCGTCCCGCCCGTATTAGGCGAGCGCTCTACCGCTGAGCCACAATCCCAGCGCCCCCCAGCCCATTTTTTGATTTTTCATTTTGAGACAGGGTCTCATTTATGGCCTTGCTAAGTTGCTGAAGCTGGCTTTGAACTCACGATTGTCCAGCCTCAGCCTCCTGAGCTGCTGGGACATAGGTGTGCACCACTGTGCCCTCCTCTTGGAGATTCTTAATGTGCTTTTGCCCATTCAAGGCTCTGATAAGTTCTGTGGTACAGAAGTCTGTTGAATGCTTTTTAGCCCATTGTTTCCTAGACTTATTTGTCTATAGACTCTTTGGCATCCCTTTTCCTTCCCTGGGAAACTCTTCACCCTTCTCCAGCTCTTGGTCATCTAGCACTGTGGGAAGCAACAGGACTGGGATCAGAACCTGTCTTCCAGGCCACAGACTCAGCTCATTTGACAGATATGCCCAGAAAAAGTGGACCTCTTATCTGAGGACTTGAAAACGCAGAACCGGAAGATGAGCATACTGCAGCAGGAAGTGGTGAGGGCCAGGGTCCTGTTCTTCCTCCCTCGGGCTGGGGGCAGGGCAGGGTGGGGAGGTCTCTCTGTAAATGAAGAGGGCACTGTGGTTGGTGAGCCACTGGAGGGCAGCCTGGTTCTGTGTGGGTAGTGAGACCCCTGAGGGCCACGCACCCTCAGCTCACGCCTGCACTACCCACCCCACTCCACAGGATTCTCTCAAGAACAGGATTCACGCTCTCCCCAAAGCTGAGGATCTGGTGCTCTGGAGTGGCCTCCATGAGGCCATGTTCACTCCAGTGAGTGGAGGAACAGGAGGGGCAGTGGGGGAGGGGAGGGGCGTGGGCCCACCTCTTCGGCCCCCTCTTTCACAGGAAGCCACTTCACAGGAGCTGGAGATGTCCAAACAGTGGCAGACCACAGACCAGCCTCCACAGGCTGCCCTGGCCCAGGAGGAGCCCGGGTTGCCTTCCCATGTCTCATGGCCCGTCCAAGGCCC